ACATCCGAATACACCAAGGGTACTGTAGTTCTGAAATGAAATAATGTTAGCAACTGCAGTGCTCTAGAAAGCTACATTTATCTTATTTATGACAATGTATTCTCCCTAAAGTTCAAAAACTATTGGATACACTGACCCAAGAATACACAGCAGCCCACACAATATTAAGTTAAAAAGCAGGTGCCCCTATTAGAAGCAGGCACTCTTGAACTGACTTTAAGGTAACATACCGGCTATTTGCGCCCTATTTTATCTTGCTTATTAAGAAATGTTGTGATATCATTTCATTGTAAGTTGTTGAATTTGACTAGCACAATTGCTGATAAAGGGACAGCAGAAATCCACAGGAGACAATAATTATCAGTTATGCCTTTAAACATGTTTTAAACTCTGTACCAAACATGGCCTCTAGCCCACTCTAGTGGGGAAAAGAGTAAATTTATAGCACATTGAAACCTTGCTTTTTACATGCAATGCAGGTAGTAATCCCCAGGTTATGAGCATTCCCATAGTGAACCTTCGAAGTTACAGGATAAGCGCCCCCTAGCGTTTACGAACAAGCCCTGAAACTACGAAGCTTGCATCACCACAGCAATTGTTTGCCCTTACGAACCGCAGACGCTATGCAACATTCATCCTGATCCACCCTCCAAAGCTTCATTTGGGCATCCAGAGGCCTCATCCGGCCCATTGTAGGCTGAAATGGAGATCCGCCCCCTAGATGCTCCATTTCAGCCAGCAACATGCCAGGTGAGGCCTGTGGAGGCCCGAACCAAGCAGCGGAGGGGCGCCCACGGCTGAGAGGCTGGAGACTGCTTGCTAGATCTTCACAAGTTTAAGTGACATGGCATGGCAGGTTGGGGGGGGGAAGCAATTTGGAGAATATGAGGTATTTCAGTGGGTTGGGGAGGCCTTAGGTGGTCTTAGGCAGGTGGCCTGTTCCATCAGTAGGCCCCCCATGGCTTTCCCCACCCTGAAATACCTCATGCGCACTTAACAAGCCTCGCATTCGATTAGCAAATGCGAGGGCGAAAAGAGGGAGTGATCTTGTTCACGGTACAAGATTCACTCCCACGAATCCTTGGGTTACCATTATATTCGTAACTCGAGGACTACCTGTACAGTGCAAAGGGTCTTTGGGATTCTCCACATCGCTACAGGCCTTGGGAAATTTCCAATTACTCGGCAGGATTACCATTTAATAGATATGTTCCTGAACTAAATGTTGCTCCTACCCAATTTCATCCTGTAATTCTCACTTGAGTAGGAAAACGAGGCCCATTGTTTCTCAATATGGCTTCTCCATGGTAGGAACCAAATTGTTGTAAAAGCTACTACTTTTTTTTCTTTCACAGTACAAATGCAATGACATTTTTGTACCCCATGACATGAATATAGCGTTTTCACTGAAATTCCCCCATAATAAATAATGCTCCTTAGCATGCAATACAATTTTCAGAAAAACATGAACCTTGGTAGGGATATTTTACCAATTGCAGTTATGCTGAGGTAACTAGAAAAGAAGAGTCTTTCTCCGTGCACCAACATTCTATAATATTTCAACATTATCTTGGTAAAGTTGGATAGCTAAAATATTTTTTTTGTGCGTGAGGATTGGTTCAATGGAAAGTATTTTTGTGGTAGGAAGTCACTGATAGCAGGTTGAGGTTGTACATGAGTAGTAGTCTAATCAGAGATCAATAAGCTGTAGTCCTTCACATATTATTGAACTACAAGATCCACATAGTAAAGACAGGACTGTTACATCAAAAATATTTTTTTCCTTCCATGATTATTCAGTGAAAAAAACAAAGGACATTATGTGGGATAAAAACAAGTTGGCAGAAGACTGATGGCATACCATTTGTGCTCAATGTAGGTATTTATTCTAGAATTGTGGCTTAGAAACCATAGTTCTCAGATTATTTCCCACAAATTTCATACATTGAAGTGAAATTAAAATATAGATTTTATTATAGGTAAAGTATAAGACACATGCTTTAAAAATAAGTAAATTGTCAAAAGCGTGTGTCTTAAATCTTTCCTCAATGTTTCTGTACTAATAAACAGAAGCAGTACAATGCTGGAAAAATAAGATACGACGGGAAGGCAATATTTTGCATATAACTGAAATGCCCAGGCACTAGTCCAGTTATCTTCTAAGTCATTGTTTTTCAATTTTGGCCACTTGAAAAAGTGTGTAGACTTCAATTCCCAACATACCCAAACTAGGATTCTAACTAGAGAATTCTGGAAGTTGAAGTTCACACACCTTCAAGTTGTCAAGATTGAGAAATATTAAGCTAAGCTGAAGGAAACCGAATCCAGTCTGGACAAGCTGAATAGTCCCTGCTGAATAAGATTTATTAATTCCAATAAATTTCAAGATATGAAGGCTACAATTCCTAACACGCCCATCCAGTACAATCAATGGCCATGTTGGCCACAAATGTTCAAGCTTGACTTCTAATACATGTATAGAATTTTAGGTTAGAAAACCCAGCCTATAGTTTAGAAGAGGGGTGTCAAACTTATGGTGGCGTCATGTGACATATCGGGGCTTTTTTCTCCTTCGCTAAACCGGGTGTGGGCATGGTCAGCATATGACACATCCGGCCTGTAGGCCGGGAATTTGACAGCCTTGTTGTAGAAGGATATTGCTACATTCACTATCACCATCCACCTGCTTTTTCCTGAGACTGCAGCAGTGATAGCACAGTTAAGTAACACAGATTCTGTAGAGGATTAGCTTCCCACATGGTTTTAAGTACCTTCAAGCATGCTTCTAAGCAGGTGCCAGGAGACTTGTGATTATTAGCCTATCATTCCTAAAGGTAGTTCAAAAGCATGTTCATTCCTTTCCTCTGGGAAAGGAAAGAATAGAATCCCTGGGCTGGCTGAGGTTGCAGACAACAGTTCTGAGGGGAAAAGTGAATACTGTATAGTTAAGCAAGGCCTCTTCACATCTGCAGTCCTCTTAGGAAAATGACAGAAGAGTATAGGAGGTGACTTGCAGCTGGGCATCTTTTATTGATTACCTGAAACAGAAATGACAAAGGAAGTGCCCTGTCTCCTGCCTAGTAGGCTTTTGAATCCAATTCATGGTGCTGGTTACTACCTATGATGCCCTTCACGGCACAGAATTAGGCTATCTGCAAGACTGTCTGTCCCCCATTCTTCCTGCCCACCCCACTGGATCAAGTAGGGAGGCATGCTCTGGATCCCTTTCCTCAAGCATTTTGTTAGACTCTGGACTCTGTTTATGCCTGCTGTGAAATGATCAGCCTTGTAAGCAAGCAAGCAAGCAAATGTATGGCTGCATGGTTTCTGAAGACAAAGAAAGGGAGAAACAGAAAAATAAGAAAGGGAAATCTTTGAGTATAATTCAGCCAAATTTAACCATTGTTCAGCCTTATTGGTCTCCTTAAACAGAAGCACAACTCCCCATAACAAATCAATACAACTAACTTTGCTGGCTCTGCATTTTATTAAATCGTGATTGTAAATCTTTTATTTTCTACCTTTAAAAAAAACAATGGATTTCCTATGAATTCATTAGCCAATAACCACACTTACTGGCTTATATCAATGCAAACATTTTAACAAGAAAGCCATTTCTTCTTAGATTCACATAGAACATTCAACACAAGGCTAATTAGACTAAACACTTTCTAAACAAACTAATTAGAGGCAAGTATTCAGTTTTAAAAATGCAACATTTTAAGTCTATGATTGATTACTAGAACATGCACATGTCACCCACACTTAGGTCTTGAATTCAGTTTGGAGTTTTAACTCTGTAGTAGAATCTATTGTGCTATGATGCAACTGAACAGGGATCAGTTGGCAAACCATGTTGGCACTTTAGCTTTCTTGAGGCATTAGGAAAAACAATGTGTGGATGGTCTGAAAAAAGACTGGATCCAGGCTTGTCTGAACATGGTTTATCCTGTATGAAATTATGAATCCTTAGTGTTAGGATTCCGTATCCCATGGGGACAATAACTACATAGGGCTGAATGTGGTTCTGTACTCACTACTAGACCTTACTTGTGAATGCAGGGAAGTGGTGGTATTCTTTACCCAACACTCAAAAGGCTTTTGACTTTGAACATTCCTGTTGGCATGCTTGCAGCTCTGCTTGTAACATTTGACACTATGATAAAATAACTGGTGGAATAGCATAATCTAAACATCTGGACTATTAGCCACTTTGAGTGTTTCTCCCTTGACATCAAGTGAAGTTTTAATCATAGTACTAACACAATAACATTTACCATTCAACTGTAAATTGGATGTGCTATTTACCTGGCTATAATCTACAAATAGTGGCACTGAGAATAAAGCTTTGGTTTCTTTGTATATCTACACAAGCAAACTTGATTTTTCTTCCCTTTCTAATGATTCTTATGAAATATCGCTTGTGGACAATCTTTTGTTTCTTACTAACATCCACATAAAACTGTGGAAAATTAATCATGTTTTCATGGTAGTCCATATAAAAGGGATTATATCTCCGTTGTGTTGTTTGTTGAATTGACTGGATCATGAGTTGGTCAGAATTCCATCTTAATGGCAGGGGGAAAAAAAAAAAACTTGTTGCAGAGAAAATTGTAGCTTCAGAAGTAAGGCTGTAAGGATTCCTGTTTCCAAATGACTCTAGTCCAATGCTAGCAAATTGGTTTCAATAAGACAAGGCAGGTGGGTGGGAAATGCATCAACATTAAAAGCATGCAAAGTTCACTTTCTTTCAAGAAAACACAACTGAGATACAAACAGGACAATCTCTTCGAGGCTTGAACAAAACTGGAGTGAAACGAGTTACAAGATTTATGTACAACATATACGCTAATGTCAAGGATTCCTAGAGTTTTAAGAATAAAGCCACAATATAGTAAGAAAAAGCCTCAAGGCAGTCCTACTATTTTTATCTGGGGTAAATCCACTACATTCAGTGGATGTTATTCCCAGTAAATATGTGTAAGATAGCAGCCTTGGTATAAGAAAGAGGGAAAAGTGACTTTTGAAACAGTGAAAAAAGGCAGTATCCACAGCTGGAACCAGCATCAACATTTTCCAGTTTTTGTAAGAAGTTAAGACAGGTGCCAATGGTTGATATATTTAAATCACACTTTGAACAGCATGAAGAAGTGAATTAAATGTTACTTCCTCGATCATTAGGGCATCTCAATCAACCCACGCTAATATCCTGCTCCTTTACAGGAGTGAAGAAAATGCTAACCTTAGTTCAGGTGCTTGTAAGCATACAACAATTCCTTGAAAGTCAAGGACAGCTTTGTGGAAAGATGCAGTGGTCTGACAAAAATAAAATTACCTTGCACTGCACCCTTTTAAAAACCCAGCTGTAAAAGTCAGGGCAGTTGGCCCAAGATGGGTGGATTCCAAAGCACTTGTTAAATCAGAGATCAAGCTTATTAAAAAGCCACATGAAGTCAAGGGCATCAGTTACGCCCCGGGCCCAGTGGGTAACTCTGGCAACTGCTGTGCTCTGTAAGAATCCACAAATGCTCTGAAAAACATCAAGGGGCAATTTTGCATGCCGCTAGCTTTTGTCTGACTGTTAGGACAAGAGTGGTGGGGCCTTTTCAAATGCTTTAGCCCTCCCACCTTGCCCGCTTTCATTCGGCATGTTCTCGGATATATGTTGCATTGGTGTCCCTGAAATATGCTTCAGATCACCTATCAAAAGAAACGGACAAAGAAAGAAATGGAACAGTTGTGTTGAGGTGTTGCATAGTAGCAAAGTCTCTGGTAACAGGAGATATTTTTTTTTTCCAATCCATGAGTTCTGTAAGAACTACTTGCTTTTTCTGTGGCTCTACAGTGTTGGTTTGTGTGACTCGTCTTCTTTTTATTTCCCCATCCACAAAAGTACCTGCTGTACTGTCATCTGCAACCTGAGAATGTTTTATGTAAGAGGCACACAAGCTTCTGGCCCCTTCGCCCCATCATCGTCCTAGCTGCTTCCTGTAGAGGAACAGACTGAGCTACACAGGTTTACATTGGAATGTTCAGATTCTGTTTCAGTCTCTGTTTCATCAGTGGTTTCAGGAGGAGAAAGAGACTCATTCATCTGATCCTGGCTCTTCTTCAACCTGCACAAGAAGGTAAAGCCAGTTATGTATAGGGCAAAGTAAACAATCAGAAAAGCATTGTCCTGAGATGAAATATTTGATATTTGATGGAGATTAGGATTCAGGTAGGCTTGTAGAACTGTGTCTAAGGTGCCTTGTCACCAGGGGTGGGATTCTACCGCTTCGGCCTGATTCGGACGAACTGGTAGCTCCGACAATCGGCTGTTGCCCCCTTCCTCCCCGCTCCTAGTCTGTGCTTTCTTTCTGGTTTTTCCAGCTCAGCTGCTTTGCGCGGTATAGCAGATTGCCGCGCATCAGCTGTTTTACACACAGGGCTTGTAGCAGAAGGTGAGCTGCAAACGCTGCGCATGCAAAGCACGCACTCACCTAACTGGTTGTTCGACTCCCACCCCTTCTTGTCACTTCATTCTCCATACACTCCCTGGATATGCATTTCTGTCCCCTGCATATCCTACCTTTCAAAGGTTCCCTGGCAGACTGCATTCTTCATGTTTACTTGCCTGAGTAGTTCTAAAGCTACTCTGAGCATTCTCATCAAATGAAATAGGGCAAGTGAGTGTTAAGAGCAGGAACATCTAATAACAACATTCCTGTTAGTGTACAAAAACACCTAAGTTTGTCTGGTGCCATCTTTATTATTCTTTTGTTGCCAACTAAGACTTATATATTATCTTTTAATTAATTTATATCTTATATGCAGTGTTTTTCAACTGTGGCAGCTTGAAGTCCACACATCTTCAAGCTGCCAAGGTTGAGAAACACTGCTTAAAAGTCTTAGATTAGAACTTACAATCTCCATCACTCAACAATCGGAAGGCTCTCTCCAACTTTAGATATACAGTAGGTTTTTGGTGAGACATAAAAGAACTGAAAATAGGAGAATTTTTCTCCAAAAACTGAAATCATAATTATCCAGTCAAACCAACCATCTTTCCACCCTCACCTCCCTTTTAAAAAACAAATTTCAGACTCACTTTTCTCTGTTAAAAATGACAAAATCGTGCTGAATTGCTTCAAGGCACTCCTGCAAGTAATCATTTTCCTATAAAAAGAGAAATATTACATTATACTTTCTTGTCTAAATCGCAGTGAATTAAAAACAGAAATAAAATCAATAACAACATCCATCTTTGTGTCACTCAGAATTGTAACACTGTATGCTTTTCTTTTTTTCCTATTAGTCGGTTATTCTGGAACCTTATTTTCTTAATAAAAGAGTCTGATATAATCATTAACGTCAGGCAATAAATAGGAGACAAATTAAAATCCATGTTCAGTCATAGCTCATTAGATAGAAGTAAACCAGCCATCTATCCACCTACCCTTTTTGTCAGGTGTAAGCACCAGAACAACCCTGAGATTTTGTCAAATAGGTTTCTTTATTGTTGATCTCCAGTTTCTTTATTGTTGATCACCAAACTGCCAGTTTCCCCTTAAAAAACAGCAGATACAGACCCAAAGGATTGAATGCTTCAAATGCTTCCTCCCCCAAATGGACTCTAAGTTGGAATGTCTTTTGACACCCCCTGCTGTGCAAAAATTGGGGCCTCCAATAGAAGATGATCAGGCTGTGGGAGACGATAAGCATGTCCATAAGAAATCTAAGGGAGGCGATAAGCATGTCCATAAGAGATCTAAGTCCAACCCACCTAGAATTACATTGATTAATACCACCAATTTCTTTGACTATTAGTAGTTCAGATTCTTGTAGAGAGAGTTAGCATGCAATAAATCTATTTGAACCACCCTGACTTTTGATTTCCTGCATTTGACACCTTCTCTCCTTCAGTTTGTGGTTTCTACTCTGGGCTTCCTGATGTAGAATGAGGCCAATTCAAATACAATAATATGCAAAGTTTATATGTCACACTTAAAAAAGATGGAGATGCAGATGACCTACAGAGAGGTGACATCTTAGGCATCATCTCCTTCAAAAGGTGTTTGGCCATCTTGTAAACTCCAATATAGAGAGGATGCTTCATGTACTCCATTCCAAGAGATGGAGGAGTTGGAAAGTAGGGTCAGGGTCAGGACTTTTTATGAACAGCTCCTCCCTCTCAGTTTTGGGCAATCCACATGTTGTGTTGTTTCAACAAGGTGGCTAAAAAAGCATTATTCTGCTGGGCTGCTGGAGCTTAAGTGCTGTAGATTGTACAATTTTCTTCCTTGTTATTGGGGGGGCCCTGTTCTGGTTATATGGTTTGTTTTATGGGATATTGAATGGTTGTTTTATGGGACTGATTGTGGGGGAGGCTGATACGAATGTTGTCTAACTGTGATTGAACATAAATACTGTAGCCAACCAACCAACCTCTGGCAATAAGAGAGAAGCTAAAAACAACAATGAGAGTAAGCCGAGTAGGGTTGTGTGCAGCATTTCAGATCTACTCTACAAAAGATGCTTCAGAACCTGAAGAAATAGAACTGTAGCATCATTCTACACTGCCTTGAAAGAACTCTTCAGCTAGTGGCCTATCACAATTGAAGATGGCCAAAACTGATAGAATCCAGGTGTAAGGATCTTCCCCAGTTGGTCCCTCAAGAAAGTAAGACTCTTGAATCCATTAAGTTGAATCCAAAGAACTTTTATTGAGAGAAAGTGATTGCAGGAAAGCAAGGCAGAATCTGAAATTGTTTCATTTCCCCAAGCCCAACTTCCCTGACCAGTCCACCAGCAGCCAAGGTGATGTTGCAAGGTTGTTATGAGAACACCGAGGAGCTAGGCAGATAACAGCCTTGAAACCAGGTTGGACCTGGCTGGGAGGGAATCCGCTCGTCTCTGACGACAATCCCGCTCCCTAATTCCCAAGCAGTTACAAGCAAAAGCATGTGAAAGTGCCAGCAAGACCCCCCTCCCTTTCCAACAGAGTGGCAGGACATGGTGGTGGGCCTGACACCAGGCAAAAGAAACAACGATCCCAGGATACATCACAGCTACTTTATGAAGTTGCAAATAGACTACAAACGCGCTCCTGCACATTATGAAGCACTTTTTGAAATTAAATCCACTGCGCCGCATAGCCCTAGCACTGAATAGGGACATCAGGACTGGTACAGCTATTATCTGCTTAATTTTTTGCTTCACGAAATAGATTTTCAGTTTAGTTGATTTGAGACTTTGGTTTTTTGTTTTTTTTAAATGGAATAGCTGGATATAAATTTGCTAATTTGTTTAGAAATACAGCGGGAGGGATTATTTAATTTCAAAAAATGAATTATTGCTGTAGAAAGAGAAAAAGCCCTACATTCTTAAAAGCCAGTCAGATTTAACTGAAGCTAGATGACTGACAATCTAACATTTATTTTTATTTTTATTTTGCTAGCTTTCAGCCAGTAATGAATTTACTGGGATTAAAAGACTGAATACGCTTTGGCTCTTTTCTTGGAAGGCTCTTTTATACCTCTTAATACTAAGAACAGGTGTTTTTTGAAAAGCATTAAAAGTGAGAATTTTGACTAGTTTTGACCTAATTCCAATTAGAATATGTTGCCTGGCACACCTAATCATTACAACAAGATGCTATCCATATGCCATTGCTTATATACACTCTTTCTTCTTACCAACATCTGCTAGTCTATCTCTAACTTCACAAAAATAGCATCTCTTTTATTTTATTTTTTTAGCAGTCTTCCTCTAATCAGACATCATGGACAGATAGTGATGAACAGATCAGTCAGTTTCTAGAAATTGTTGGTCTGCTCAGTTACCCTCATTTCACGTTTCTGCTTTTGATCCGTTTTCATTCTTAAGAAATGCAGACAAAATTTGCACCCATTATTCAAATATTTTCAGTCAGAATGATTGTTTCGATACATGGCTCTGAGTTCTTACATTAAATGGCATGCATACTGTTGGCATTTAAGGAAAACAACAAGAAAAGCAACAATGGTGTCACTTATGAGCAGCAGTTGGCAAGAGGTTGGTCCTTTGCCATAATAAAACCATGTTTGCTTGACAGACCAATATGATAGAATAAAGTAGCCCAGATAAGAAGGACAACAATGAAGACTAGCTCTGGCTTTATTATAAGGCTACTTTAACAGAATCTTGTAAGTCTAAAAGCATTTCTCCCTATTTTCCATTAGTCTCTGAAAAACTAGGGAGGCCCACTTCTAAAACAGTGTTTTTCCAGTGAAACCAGGCAACCTGGTCTCCCTGTCATGCCCCTGTTAGACTAAGAGGAAGAGGAGGAACAGCTGACAGGGAGTGGGAGTGTGGTTCTGGAGGTTGTGGAGGAAACTGGGGAAGGGCACAGGATGGCTGGGCATTCAGAGGAAGACCCAGGCCCATCCCCTCTTCATCCTAGGGCAGGCAGGGAGGAGCGGATAAGGGAGAAACGTGAATGGCGTGGTCTATGTAGGAGGAAAGGGTCCTGATCCCCTTCATGGGCTACAGCTGTGAGTACTGTTTAAAAGGACAAACTGTGCATGGCCCAGTGCTGGAAACAAAGCGTGAAATAATTCTAGTCTTTCAGTTCTTATCTGAGTTCGGGCATCCTTCCCACTGTGTATATTATTTTGATATCTGTGGACGTCCTCAAGCCCTTATCTTGCCTTATCTCATTAATTGCTTCAGTGTGGTTTGTGTTGTTTTTTTCTATTTAAAATTTATATGTATTTTGATTTTGAATGAAATTTCTTCCTTTTCGCAACTGTTTGTGGGGGAGTTTTTTCTCCAGTCCATGATAATTGGATGTTTGAAGCCAAACTGAAGGAATTAAAGGGACTACACCTGTTTTTTGATGACTTTGTTGCTTTTGGGTCCTCACACTGCCCAAATATGGGAATGAGCATACTGCTTCTGTTTTCACCTTTCAGCTCCAATCCAGGAGCCTTCACAGGCAGTTGCTTTTGTGACAAACGATTTTTGTACTGAATTTATATTTTACCGACAAAGAAATAAAGGGAGACTAGGATAGATCTATTTCAAGCTATTTAGCTCTCGTCAGCTAGCTATAACCTTTCTCGGATTCGAACCTGGCTACTTGCATATTAGGTAGATATAGTAACCTCTAAGCCACAGGCTCTCCTCACTTTGTCAGCTATACCAGGGGAGAGAGATGAAATGTTTTTCCAGAAGCAGTATGCTCCGTCCTATATTTGGATAGACCAGGTTGCCCTGGTAGATCAGTTTCATCGGAAAAACGCTAAATCTCTCCCTTGATATAGCCAACAAAGCAAGGAGACCCCATGGCTTAGAGGTTAATACATTTACCCAATATGCAAGTAGCCAGGGTTTGAATCTCAGAAGGGGTATGGCTAGCTGGCGTGAGCTAAATAGCTTGAAATAAATCTATACTAGTCTCCCTTCATTTCTTTGTTGGCAAAATATAAATTCTCTTCTGAAACACTTCCCATTCTCCACTTGTTCCCCACTCCCATTTCTGAGGACTGAGATCTCTTCGGCCTGATGGTTGTCAGGTCTGTGGCTCTTCTTCCTGTCTTTCAGGATTATTCCCACATCCCATTATAACAACAGGAGTTGAGATTTTAGCAGCTTTAGTCTCACCTAATTGGGGGGAAATAATGTAGGAGAGAGTGAGGAGATTTAGATTAGTGCTGAAGAGGCAATGTGCATCTCTTCATCAAAGCAAAGAAATAACAAGAGTTTGCTTCAATGAAGTACTGCACCTGTTTGAAGCTTCCCTACTGGTTAAGCCAGAGGTTCCCAAACTTGGCAACTTGAAGACTTGTGGATTCAACTCTTTAAAAGATAGTTGAAGTCCACAAGTCTTCAAGTTGCCAAGTTTGGGAACCTCTGGCTTAAGCTGTACTGAAGAAGACCAAAGCAAGAAGAGGCTTCTGTGCTACTACAGGTAGTTCTTGACTTACAACAATTCATTTAGTGACCTTCGAAGTCACAATGTCACTGAAAAAAGTGACTTATGACCGCTTTCCACACTTATGACCACTGCCACATCCTCATGGTCACGTGACCAAGATTGCGATGCCTGGCAACTGGTTCATATTAATGACGGTAGCAGTGTCCATGAGTCGCACGGTCCGCTTTTGCCACCTTCCGACAAGCAAAGTCAGTGGGGAAGCCAGATTCACTTCACAACTGCAGGGATTCACTTAACAATCGTGGCAAGAAAAGCGGTTAACATGGGGCAAAACGCACTTAACCAATGTCTCACTGAGCAACATCAGTGTGGGACTCAAATATGGTCGGAAATTGAGGACTACCTATACTGTAGTGCAGGGGTGTCAAACTCAATTTCATTGAGGGCTGCATCAGGGTTGTGTTGGGACCTCTGGGGGCCAAGGTAGGCGTGGCCAGGGTAGGCATGGCCAGCTTGATGTCTCTCGTGTTGGGGGCACCTGTAGTGGCCCGAGTGCTCTGCCAGCAAAAATGGCCTCCTGAGCTCCGTTTTCAGCTGTGATAGCCTCCTGCAATCCTCTGCCAGTAAAAAAATGGCGCTTGGGAGGGTCGTGTGTGGCCCTCCCGAGCTCTCCTTTTGCTGGCAGAGGCACTGTGGGCCAGTCCTTCACGGTTTCCAGGGCATCCCCATGGGCCAGATCTAAGCACACCACGGGCCGGATCCAACCCCCCCAGACCTTGTGTTTGACACCCCTGCTGTAGTGACTTCAGAAGCAACTTTTTTTTTCCACGCTCAGAAGTGAAGGATCCCTGTTGCTTTGTGGAGCAACTCAAGGAAGGACTTTGCTTGAGACTTCAGCAAAGATTAAAATCATGCACGGCCTTACAAGTTGGCCAGGAACACAAGTAGAGTTATTGCAGAGCCCCATCAGAGGCATTTGAAAGTGAAATGCCAGCTCCTGCAATCAGAGGACACGCAAAGGAATTCAATTTACTTTGGCCACTGCGAGGGAACACTTACAGACTGTGAGCTGTCCTTGCTGTTGTCCCTGGATTTGTTCTTCGCAAGCCTCTTCTTTTTCTTGTGCAGGGGCCTTGACTCCAGGATCATCTCTTCCAGCTCAAAAGTGGGGTCGCAGTGCAGACGGCCTTTCTGTGAGAAATTGAGACAGAGAGGCTGCCGTGTGAATAGCAAACTGATCATGCAAGCGGTATTCTGAGCCCAGGTTTGTTAGCCATGGGGATCAGGGGTGGGAGGAGGAAATGCAACTGTTCTATGTGGAAATTGATCTTATACACCTAAGAATATAAATAACCAGACTGACTCCATGTTTGCTCTTTATCTGAACTGTTTAGGGATCAGAACATTTATGTGACTTGTTATGTATGTGTTTACTGCAAAAGCTATGCAGAATTGCAAAATATTCTGTCCTCAGCTTGGTGTGAGATGCATACTAAGGTCACCCTGACATTATCAGACATATTAAGAGATATTAATGATCTCTTGTGTAATCTTTTAAGTAGAAAACAGGAAATCTAATGATAAAGTGGTGAAGTGAAGAAAGTTGGGGAATTTCCAGGGACGCATGGGGGGAATTATGAAAAATACCCGGAACTTTCCTATGGAATTCGCTGTAACTGCTTTGTGTAAAAAACAGGAAGTGTTATGTAATCGTTTAATTGTGATAATCCTATATAAGAGTGTATTTACTGGAAAGGGGTGTCTCCTTTCGCTCACACTGCAGTCTGAGTGCTAAAGGGGGCTGATATTGCAATATCAATAAAGCCAGTTACGGATTTCTGATTATCACAGTCTGTTGTTTTATTTTTGGTATAATCTCACAGCAACCCTCCGTCATGAGTAACAGAGACCCACAACCGAAACGAACACACTCAACACTTTGACTTACGTTAGGAACGAAGCCAGGCTCCACTTTCTTCTCGCAAATTTCATCCCAGTCCACATTAGATAAGTAGGAGGAAGTCTGAATGTTGGCTAGACTAGAAAAACGATGCTCAGGGTTGACTGTCAAAAGCTGAAAATGGAAATCAAAGAGGGGCAAGGCAAATTTATTTAGGGCGAAACTGGGCAACCGGGGGGGGGGATCTGAGCTGTTTTACAGATAGTCCTCGACTTACATCCATTCGTTTAGTGAACATTTGAAGTTACAATAGCACTGAAAAAAGTGACTTATGAGCATCTTCACGCTTAAGACTGTCGTAACATTCCCCGCACGGCCATGTGATCAAAATTCAGGGACTTGGAAACCAGCAGGTATTTACAATGGTTGCAAGTATCCTGGGGATCATGTGATTTTCCCATTTGTGATCTTCCCAGCTCAGGTAAGCAAAATCAATGGGGAAAGCTAGATTTGCTTAACAATCACATGGATTCACATAGTTGCAGTCATTTGCTTACAACCATAAAATCGTAAAAAAAGGTGATAAAATCAGGTACAACTCACTTAACATCTGCCTCACTTAGCAACAGAAATTCTGGTTCCTATTGGGTTGTAGGCTGAAGACTACCTTCATTTCTCCACACAGGCAGTGAAGTGTATACAGTAAAGAGAAATCAGCTTCCTTTTCTCAACGGTTAAAAATATAACCTCTCATTTAATTTGTTTTCCACTCCACAAAATAGCTAAATGTGATTTATTCATTTTTAAATCAAAGACCCATTCAGTTTCCTTCAGTCTACTATTAAACAAACTAATTTTTCTCATGTTAGATGCCCAGGGATATTTGGATGCAGAGGCAGTACTACTACTACTACTACTACTACTACTGAGTAGGAAAATGCAGCCCCTCTGACTGAGTTACAGTCATGGGTCCAACAGTACTTGAGTCACTGTTTGACCAAGAACATCAAGGAAGCACCAATTCTTCATTGTGGTAGTTGCCATGCCTTCCATCAAAGTCAAATGGCCGCACATAATTAAATGGCATATTTTGAAATGGGAAAAAGGATGAGAACAAAGTCTCCTAATTGAATCAGTTCTGAGATTCTATTGTTTTCTGTGACTGGGAATAACATCACACTCCTTCCATACCGATGCTCATCTAATTTAAATATGAACAAAACCGCTCCTCGCCTCAACAATTCATTCTTCATTTGGGTTTTCCACAAATGCTCCCCTTCAGGATGTTTTGTGCCTTCCACTGCTTATTACTTTCCATAGACAATGTATGTTTGGAGGCTATCTTCCTTTATTAATCCAGCAGAGGGAGTATTCTTGTTGAGTAAATTGTCCATAACACAATCCTACTTTAAAATTACACATGCTGTTCATTTGAGACAGATTTATATTGGGAGTCCTTGATTCCTGTCACTGTTGTACATACGTATTTCCTTTCTTTTTTTTACAAGAAAAACAAGCCCTACCCAACTCCGTTGTTACAGCCTCAACCCCTCATATCTTCAACTGTAAACTGTGTAATGTGGACCTCACCCCATTCCTAAAAGGTCCTTAAAGGGGGCATGCATAAGCGCACCAGCATGCCTACCGTCCCCGTCTTACTGTCCCCATTTATCTGTATTTACTCCCTTTGTTCTTGTTTATGTTCACGCTTATACTTGTTATCTTGTACATGTTTGACAAACAAACAAACAAACAAATAAATAAAAGATACTCTTAAAAACATTCAACCATTACAGGCCTCAATGGCACTTTACATTTCTCTCCCCCCCCCCCCCCCCCAGATATTGAAGAGGGGCTGGCAAAGAACTTGAAGGAACATTTTGTAATGGATTTGAAGGGTGCTTTGCACAGCATGTTGGCACGAGGGAATCTCCCCCTCATTGAAAATGGTCAGACTGTTATGTCCTGCAGAAAGCTCATCATAAACATTCTGGGGCCTTTCAAGGCATGCACAAGCATCTTTCCACTGGACTGTGGATGAAGTGAGGGAACTGTGCAGGCCGGAAAAATCTGGGAAAATGCCAAAAAGCAGCTGGAATAAGAGACAGGAGCTTTGCTCAGGCCAATATATTCTGAAAAATCATTCCACTGCACCAATCTAGCATTCATGATCCCGTGGCCTCTATACACACAGTTTTCCAGTGGGCTGAATTTGGATGCTCTAAGTACTCTTGTTTCTCTTTTTTATCTTTTAAAGACTATTTGTACTTCTGCTCGCCTTCCCTCAAGCATGCCGATCACTTCTCCTTGCTTCTCAAAAGTCCTATGTTGGGAGTCAGTCCTGGCAAAAATCACCTAAGTTGGCTGTCAGTGGAAATTATAAACGTATCGCACTCTCAAGCTTCCAGAAATTGACACCTCAGTCTCAAGTGATACCAATCATTAGCACAATTAGTTAATGTTTCATACATGGGGAGACACTTGCTTTTATGAAGAAGTCTGGCACTTCCAGTCTGATACACAGAGGACTCTCAATTATTCACAGTTTGAACTTTCACAGAGGGCTGTTACCATCCAGACACAATTTCAGCCTCCTACAGACATTCCCCACGGGAATGCCAAAGGAAGGAGAAATTGGATTGTGAGACACATCCCACCTGTTTCACACATTTTTGTCTTTTGAATGCCTATAGGGGGTGTCACAATCTGAAAAAGATAATATGAAAATAAGTCCTTATTAATCAAGCCAGCAGAAAGCCCTATAACTTCCTGCAAGGTATTAATTGGCAATTAGAAGTATAGCCATTGCATAGCTTTAACAATAAGATGACGTGCTGCATTACATGTAAAGGAAATACGTTTTCCTCTCTGACCATGCACTTACATCTGCCCAATGAAAGTAGCAATAGCAATAGCACATAGTCTTATGTTCAGTTCCACAGTGCTTTAGAATAGAATAGAATGGAATAGAATAGAATAGAATAGAATAGAATAGAATAGAATAGAATAGAATAGAATAGAATAGAATAGAATACCTTTATTGTCATTGCATTCCACAAATACAGTGAAATTTGAAAGCTACTCCAGCACAGTGCCCCAAACACCACATCACAATCACACTACAGAGTATTTAAAAATTATAATAATTATAATCATAATAGGACTAAATCACAAATGCACTGTTTGATTCAAGACAATTACTGCCTTGGAAAAGAAACTGTTTCTCAATCTATTAGTCCTCATTTTAAGACACCTATAACGCCTCCCTGATGGTAACAGGTCAAAATATGAGCCCTCTCTAAGCGGTTTATGAATGTCAACACATTGCCCTTAGCAATCTTGGTCCTCATTTTACAGAACTGAGAAGGGTGGAAGGCCTTGTCAATCTTGAGCCGCTCAGGATCGAACTGCCGGCAGTTGGTAGAGTAAACCTGCAATATTGCATTCTAACGACTGAGCCACCATGGCAGTGACGCATCTATGGAGCTGGAAAGCATTTGAAGGACAGGAGACAGTATTTCTGGTGCAAAACACACTCTCCCCCCTACTTCAGTGCCTAGGAGGACTGTGGGCATGTTTCCCTGACACTGTTCTAGGAACAATGAAGTAATGTGCTGAAGGCAACTGTTGTTACACAGACATATGCAGCATGTTGGCAAGTCAGAGGGAGCACATATTTTTGGATCAAAGCCCATATTTGTGCAGCGATAATGAATCATTGCAATCCTTACCAAAGAAACAATGATTTTACCTTTCTTAATAATGCCACCATGTCTTTTGACCAAGCTGTTGTATACTGAACACTCACAGTGCTGAACAGCTGAACTAACGATTCCACAGGACTATTGGAATGGATGTCGTAAGGCCTCTGAGGGAGAAAAAAAAGATGAATAAATAAAAATACATGAGAACTCCATATTTATTTATCATAACATCAAGCATTTAATGAATGCAGTTAGGTATACTTCTGTTACTACTTTATTACTATCATCCTGATGCTTTGGTCACCTTGTATTTCAACTATCACTATCATATTCAACTGTAAATGAATACTTCAGCTTCAACCATAACAACACAAGAGCACACAATAGATACAAACTCAATGTTAACCGCACCAAACTTGATTGCAGGAAATACGACTTCAGCAATAGAGTGGTCAATGTCTGGAATACTCTACCTGACTCTGGTTTCTTCCCCAAACCCCAAAAACTTTAACCTTAGACTGTCTACCATTGACCTCACCCCTTTCCTAAGAGGTCTGTAGGGGGCATGCATAAGCGCACCAACGTGCCTACCATCCCTGTCCTATTGTTTCTTTTATTTTTCTATTTTTCTTATATGTATCCATGTATTCATAACTATGTTTTTACTTATACCTATTATCTTGTAAGCAATTGACAAAAAAAATATAAAAATAAATAAATAAATAAATATCACAAGATATATGGGGCTGTCTTGAGACACTTTGGAAGCTGCAGCTGGCTCTGAATGCTGTGAAACAGGCATTTATGGGCATGTGCCCATATGTGCTGGCCTTTTTGTTAAGCTGCACTGGTTGCCAGCAGCCTTTTGGATGTGATTCAAGATGCTGGTTATCACCTATAAATGATTATCCAAAAGACCATCTGTCTCCCATAGCTACTCTCTAGCCCAGATGGTTGGACAGAATCCAGATTCCACTGCTCCAGATTCCACTGCTTTAACAATGGCACCTGAACAGACCCACAAAGTTGTAATGCTTGTCTTGCACCCATCAGAATAGAATAGAATAGAATTCTTTATTGGCCAAGTGTGATTGGACACACAAGGAATTTGTCTTGGTGTAAATACTCTCAGTATACATAAAGAAAAGGTACATTTGTTAAGAATCAAGAATCATAAGGTACTTTACAAGTAGCTGGACAGTGTTGAGGGACTTATTTGTTTAGCAGAGTGATGGCGTTTGGAGAAAAACTGTCCTTGTGTCTAGTTGTTCTGGTGTGCAGTGCTCTATAGCGTCGTTTTGAGGGAAGGAGTTGAAACAGTTTGTGTCCAGGATGTGAGGGGTCTGTAAATATTTTTACAGCCCTTTTTTTGACTCGTGCAGTATACAGGTCCTCGATTGAAGGCAGGTTGTAATTGTTTTTTCTGCAGTCCTAATTACTCTCTGAAATCTGTGTCTGTCATGTTGGGTTGCAGAACCAAACCAGACAGTTATACAGGTGCAGATGATAGACTCAATAATTCCTCTGTAGAACTGTATCAGCAGCTCCTTGGGCAGTTTGAGCTTTCTGAGTTGGCGCAGAAAGAACATTCTTTGTTATGCTTTACTGATGACGTTTTTGATGTTAGGTGTCTATTTTAGGTCTTGTGATATGATAGAACCTAGAAATTTGAAGGTCTCTACTGTTGATACTGTGTTGTCTAAATGTGTACGACCCCCACCTTAGCTCTGGAATAGAGGGTGTGGCTCTTTGTGGGATGACTGGTTTGTTACGAGACTCTTAAGAGTTGTAAATCTAATCTTATGAAGCTTCTCCTCTGGTAATACTGAATTGCTAATTAGGGCATACAAAACCTTTGCTAGACCAATACTCTAATACAGCTCATCTGTCTGGAATCCACACTGTATATCGGACATTAATACAATTGAGCAAGTCCAGAAGTATTTCACGAGAAAAGTACTACACTCCTCTGCTCACAACAGAATACCCTACACCACCAGGCTTGAAATTTAACCTAGAACTACGCCGCTTATGGTTAGACTTAAGTGTAGTACACAAAATTATCTGCTACAATGTCCTATCAGTCAATGAATACTTCAGCTTCAACCGCAACAATAAATGAGCACACAACAGATACAAACTCAATGTAAACCACTCCAAACTTGATTGCAGAAAGTACAACTTCAGCAACAGAGTGGTCAATGCCTGGAATGCACTACCTGACTCTGTTGTTACATCCTCTAACCCCCACTCCTTTAACCTTAAACCATCTACTATTGACCTTACCCCATTCCTAAGAGGTCTGTAAGGGACGTGCATAAGCGCACAATTGTGCCTACCGTCCCTGTCCTATTGTCCCCATTTATTCGTACCTATTTCCTGTATTTATACTAATGTTTATTCTTATACCTATATCTTTTAAGTGATTTGACAAATCAAATCAAATAAATAAATAAATAAATAAGGGGGGGGGGAGAGATGATGGATGAACAGACAATAGAGAGACAGAGGCAGGGAAACAGAGACAGATGCAGACTAATTTAAGAGAGCAAATCCAAGGTGAGCCATTTATGGCAGAGAAAACTTGATGTTAAGAACTGGTATTGCCTCATATATATTGTTGGTATCTGACAAACAAAGAAGTGTGTTTAATTAGAAATATGAATAACTGGTAGAAAAAATGAACTCTGAAAACCCCTCCTCGGGATCAGCTTCAGCATAGATCAATTCAGGAATGGCACTGTATATTAACTGGAATCATATGAAGCTTCCAATAGATGAAGAACATTAAATTCTGATCTGAATTTACACTCATATTTGTGTTATATTTTGTAATTGCTTTCTTCAATACGATTTTTTAACTTCTACTCATTTGTATGTTCATTGCCTTGGAATCCATGCACCTACTACCCACACTTTAATGGGGCAATGCCATTTCCAAAGTATTTTTAAAAATAAAGAATATGTCAAGCACCCATCCACGCAGAAGCTCATATGCTATCACTCCCAGAGACCACCAATCGACTTCAAAGGAGTACCCTGATCCTCCATTCAGAAAGGAATGAAAGATCTCCGGAGCTGAAAAGAAAAACAAGGACATCATTTAATACCTCCATCATTGTTAGTTTCAGTAAAACTGCTGTTGCCATTTTTGCATATCCCCATAGTTGTAAAATGAGATATTCTAACGTAAATGAGACACAAGATCTTCTGAGCTGTAAGTAGGTATGCTGGCTTTAGATGATATGAAAGAGAATGACATGTTGACTTCATATGTAGGACCAAATATTTGGGAAGATAAGCCATCTGAAAGCAGGGTAAATGAGGTTCAGACCTTAGGACTCCAGATTGGTAATAGTACTTGTATAGTTATACTAGCTCTATACCCGTGCTTCGCTACGAAACTATGTGATTAGGCTTAGTTTTTGGGAAGGAGGTGGAATTGTGCCTCTGCCTACCAGCATCCATCATATTCATCTGTCTAGTGTCCTGTCAGCGTCTGAGAGAGTTGAGGGCTGTTTGGAAACTGAAATAGTATTTGTTGTGTGAGCAAGGAGACAGCAAGGAGCCTGGGTGTGGCTTAGCTCAACTGTTCTGTACTAAAGCTGGTTGGTGCTGTGAATCTGAAACTCCTCTCCTCTGCTTGTGTTTTGCATTTGGAACAGATTTCTTTTCAGGTGGGGAGGGGAAGTAGAGCTCCTTAGCATCAGAGCGTGTTAATAATAATATACAAAATACTAATGCTCTGATGGTCATTTCAAAAAATCCTTTCTTAGTGAGCACCTAGAAGCCAAGAGGAACATATGTGCCAAATTTCAAGTTTGTAGGCTTTACGGTTCTGGAAATTTTGTGATGATGACTGGTATTTCACTTTTATATATATAAAGTGAAGATCAAGAAATGGTTGCTAATATGATTCCCCCCCCAAATAGCTTGCATTTATCTAGACTTGTGAGACTGCTTACAGCTCTAAAAGGTGGATGGACCATGTGCTTAATCTTGGAGATGTGATCTATAGCTGGCTTCTGCTATAAACAGCCAACCAAAAAGCAAAAGGGTTCAATTAACAAAATATAAAATTAAAGCATTCTTAAGCCTAATTAATCTCTTTATGGGAAGGGAAGATAGATTTAAATTAGACAATTATTTTATGCCTAAGGCAAAATAAACAAAGGGTGTGGGGATTACTATAAGCTAAATATTATTATTTTTAATGTAAACAATGCTGTGCTTCAATGTTTATCTAAACATCTGGCCTAGGCATTCGTATTTGAACTTACATCTTTTTAACATTTATATTTTATTGTTTTACTAATCTAGGTGAAATGTTAATATATATTACTAGTCCGTGTATGATATGCCATATGTAAAATATATTTTATTTCATTTTTTATTCCCCTCAATTGTGTCAGATTCTTAGAGACTACCTGGACAAGGTCCTGCAATTTATTTGTCAAGGTTTTTCAGAGTTGGTTTCGTATGGCTGAGAAAGAGTGACAAGTCCAATGTCACCCAGTTGGATTTGTGCTTAAGGTTGAACTAGAATTCACAGTCTCCTAGTTTGTAGCCTGGCATCCTAACCATTATACCAAACTGACTTTAATATATCATATATGTTCAAATATGGTACAGAACACACTCATACACACAAACACAACAAAGTAAATGTGATGTGACAGAATCTCTAAATATGAACCAGTTTAGCAGGAAAATATATATTTCATTTGGACTGAGTGGAAAAATGTAATTTTGGATTTAAGATAGGAAAAGGTGACTTTTCAAAGATAGATAGCCACCTATTTGTAATCTATTGGCTTCTAAACCTCTCCCCCATTGGGAGATTTAGCTTTCTTTACAAGTAGATTTGCATTAGATTAATGAAATCTACCGTGTTTCTCCAACAATACGACCTCCCCCAATAGGAAGACCCAGCATGTTTTCTAGGCATAAAATGAAATTAAGCCCCTCCCCCAAAATTTAGGCCTATTTTAAAACGTGCAAAATGGGGGGAAGGGTGGGGGGGACTTGCCATTAGGAGCGCCCCGCGGGCAGCAATTCCTCGCCACCAGCTGCTCCTAATGGGCGATCATGGAAGAGCGCGGAGAGCTCCCTACTCCTGCCAAGCACCTTTGTGGCAGACCCAAGACCTTCAGCGCCTGCCACTGTTGATTTCCCTTCTGCCCATGCCGCCACCGCATTTGGAGCTGCCACTTCCACGTTTGGAGCACCACTGCTGTTTGGAGCACTGCTGCCGTTTGGAGCTGCCGCTTCTGCATTTGGAGCTGCTGCTGCGTTTGGAGCTGCTGCTGCGTTTGGAGCTGCCGCTTCCACGTTTGGAACCCCACCGCTGTTTGGAGCACTGCCGCTGTTTGGAGTTGTCATGCCCGCATTTGGAGCTGCCGCCACATTTGGAGCTGCCGCTTCCGCGTTTGGAGCACTGCCGCTGTTTAGAGCACCACCGCCATTTGGAGCGCCACCACCACTCCAAACACGGTGGCAGCTCCAAACGTGGAAATGGCAGCTCCAAACATGATGGCGGTGCTCCAAATGGCAGCGGCACTCCAAACACGGAAGCGGCAGCTCCAAACGTGGTGGCGGAATGGACAGAAGGGAAAGCAACAGCGGCAGGTGCCAAAGGTCTTGGGTCTGCAGCAAAGGTGTTTGGTGGGAGTAGGGAGCTCTCTGCACTTCGCCATGATCACCCGTTAGAAGCGGCTGGTGGCGAAGCTGCCCGCGGGGCGCTCTAGATGAGGATGCAAGGGGGGGAATTAAGTCACCCCCAAAAAGATGGCCTAGTCATTTTTTCGGGGCTCAAAAAAATATAAGACCCGGCCTTATTTTATGAGAAACACGGTACTTGTTATGCAGATTTTGTGGCACTTTGATCAGAATAAAAATAATTTAGAGGTTAGTCTACTTTTCTTTGTTGGGTACTGTATACAATGGTACCTTGGTACTCATCATTAATTGGTTCCGGGAGGTGCAATGAGTACCAAAAGCAAAATAATTTTTTCCTATAAGAAATAATGTAGTAAGTCACAAGGCAGCTGACATTTACAAGTTCTAGACTGTGTGTTGAGTACCAAACAAACGATGAGTATCGGGACAAAATTTTCACATCAAAATGTGTTGGGTACCAGATTCGATGACTTTCAAACCAGTTGAGTACTAAGGTACCACTATATTGGGAGATATGTGTGTGTGCAGGGGTGGGATTGTACCTGATTGGACTGGTTCTATAGAACCGGTTGTTACGATTCTGCGCAGTTTGAAGAACCGGCAAATCACGCCACTGGCTGGCCCCTCCCCTCCCCACACACCCACTCCTTACCAGGCATGCGCACCATCAAACTTGCCTGCCCTTGGTAAGTTGCTATTTTTCCTTTTTTTCCCCTGACCATCAGCTGTTCTGCTGTGCCGGGAGATTTAGATTAGCTAGAAAGCAGGAAATCGTTGGATTTCTTGCTTTCTAGCTAATCTAAAAGCAGAGCTGAACCTTCCTTAGGACTGAAGCTTCTATTTTTCAGTGCAGACTCAGGTAGAAGATTGCAGAATAGTAGATCTCTGAATGATTCTGAGATTCTGTGAGCAATTCAATCTCCCTGCCTGCTTTGCCTGATTTTGGGTAAAAGTTGCTCTTTTTTGTTTATAAAAAATACAATATTTACATACGTGGTGTGTTGTGAGTTAATTTTGTGAGTTTGCTTGCTAGCAAATTTTATGAGTTTGCTTGAAAGCAAATTTTATGTGACAGACTCAGGTAGCAGATTGCAGATAGATAGATCTCTAAGTGAATCTGTGATTCTGTGAGCAACTCAATCTGCCTGCCTACTTTGCCTGATTTTGGGTAAAAGTTGTTTTTTTTTAATTAAGAAAATTCAATATTTACATAAATATTTATAATATTTACATCAAGCCACGCCTAGCCAGTCACATGACCACCAAGGCACACCCACAAATTAGGCCACACCCACAGAACCGGTTGTTAAGAAATTTGAATCCCATCCCTGTGTGCGTGCGTGTAGGGGGGGTTAATATTAAAGATGCTTCCACATAGTAGGCTCTTAGTATTATGAATGGAGATAAAAGCCTGTCCCTTGTTTTTTGACTCCTTAATGTAAAGGAGTCTATGTAGTAATAGAAGAAGAGAAACAGTAGAGGATTACAAATGAAAGATGAGATTTCACAACAAAGGCCTTCTCTGGTTGTGCCCTAAAATAATTAATATCATTTTAATTAATTTGTTACAGGAATAAGATGTTTTTATTTCTTTCCATTTCATAGTGAGTTTTAAATCACTTGTATTGTGACAGTCATTGTTTTCCGAGGAAAACCCTAATACTACTGTATACCTGAAGGATATGGTCCATCAGCCCATTATGAATATGCAAGTAAACCACATCGTGAAGCAACCACATCGTTAAGCAACATGTCACTTACCCATGTAAGGCTTAGTTCCAGCTAGAGCAGTTGCTCTTTCACCATCTCTGATGATTGTTGCGATATTAAAATCGGTTAGGTGGGTGTGGCCTTAAACAGAGCACAAAACATGACATTTCCATAGAAACACCCTGTAATGCTAATTTATTCTGAAAAATATGATCTAAGATAATAATACAATTAAAATAATATGATAGTAAGAGTTCTTATGAATTGACATAAAAATCAATGTGAATCATAGGACATTCCAACCATTAGAGAACAGTTGATAGCATTAAAGGTAGATATAAAGGAAGTTGTGTATTACTATCTTTTAAATATAAAGCAATATATCTGATACAAATTTTGAAATATCGTTGTCTTTTTTACTGTATTGCTTTTAAAAATTATGACAGATAAACAAAAAACTCGCAAAGATAAAATACATGCACTGTCAAGGACAAGAGGGGAAAAACACTTGAAAATGTTTTTTTTTTAAATCAAACAAATACAACAAACAAAAATGTAATTTGGTTGTAAATGGTTAAATTTCTATACACTGTTATCTAATGCAATTATTCCAATACATATATTTTAACCTCGGTATTTTGTATAAATGACTTCCAAAGTTCAATAGATTTGTTCATACATAGTCTAATGTCTGTAGGCAATCTCATAGGTAAAAAGTGCAATCAGGATTTCAATCCACTGAATGAATTATCACATTCTAAACCAGTGGTCGCCAACCAGTGGGCCGGGGACCACTGGTGGTCCACGAGAAAATTTTGGTGGTCTGCAGAGAAATGTCACTCCCCAAAGCAATTAATCCAGGCTATGCGGGAACACAAGGCTGCGCCGCCCACATGGCCCACGGGAACACAAGGCTTGCATCTCTGGCATTGCGAACAACATGAGGTAGTGAGGGGAGGGGGAAAAGACCAGAGGGGGGGAACTTGCCCCATGCACCCCACGCGGGCCTGGCCACTGGGCTACTTTCTGCTTCTTTCTTCTGCTTTTGGCTGCACACAAGGAAAGCAGCAAAAATCTTTCTTTCTCTCCCCCAAACTCCGCCAGAAATGAGTCGTTGGGACACTGCAAGGCATCCTGCTCTAAGGGCTACACCGGCGCAACAAGTCTCACAAAGACTCATTTCTGGCAGAGTTTGGAGGAGAGAAAGAAAGACTTTTGCTGCTTCTGCTGCTTTCCTTGCATGAAGCTCTCTCTCTCACACACACACCCGCCCCGAGAACAGAGCTAGAGACGGTATCCTGCGATCCTAAATAAAGAATGATTGATCAGTAGGAAAACGGGATGGGAAATTTTCCTGCAGACTTTTTTTGGGATTTTCCCAGAGTCTCTGGTCTGCGGGATTTAAAATTATGAGTTTGGTGGTCCCTGAGGTCCAAAAGGTTGGCAACCCCTGCTCTAAATCATAGATGATTTTTTAGAAAGCACCCAATTAACTTTTTACATTTTGGTTAAATGATCTGAAGTTTCACTATACAGTCAGGAAAACTAATATATCAATAAAACAACCTATTTATCTCTCTCTTTATGGAGAAGCCACTTGCAATTTCAGTTAACAGTCCATATTACTTATGGACATCATTTTCAGAAGAATTGTGATCCTAAAGAAGGTGTCATTGTAAAATGCAGTTGTACCATAATAATATAATTTTGTTATAATGAGCTAACACCTCATTTTAATTACTTACACTTTTTTTTAAAAAAAATGCTCTTTTAGGTCAGCAAGCTCTTTCACACATTATCATATTTTCCTTTGTGATTATGCAAGAGCAAAGTAGCACTGTCTTATCTGTTACTCAGAATAGGAAAAAAATGTTGCATCATAGAAAAAATCAGAACTCATTTGAAACTCTTCCTGATCTATGGACTAATGGCTAAGCTGTGACACTTTAAATATAACTTGGATTACACATGAATACATAAAAGCTGCTCCAGCCAACTTACATTTCACTTTCCTGTTGTGTGAAAAGCTATTTGATAAGCTTTTTAAAGGATTCATTGGGGAATACGCTATTGTCCGGGTTGGAACAAAGCGGAATACATCAGGTGATGCATAAAGGAATCTTCTGGCAATTGATTGCAAAACCATTAAAATTCCACCTTGTGGATCTCGCAATGCACTCTATATGGAGCTGCCCTTGAAAAGTATCTGGAAGCTTTAATTGGTTCAAAATGCAGTAGCCCTCTTAGTTTCGTGCAAGCCTAGATTTGTGCATGTGTCACTTTATCTTGCAGGAGCTGCACTGGTTGCCAATTTGCTTCCAATTCAAAGTGCTGGCTGTCACTTTCAAAGCCCTATATGGCTTGGGACCAGGTTATTTGAAGGACTATCTCTTTCCAGTCATATCTACCCAACTCACCAGAATGGAGAGGCAGGGAATGCTATGGGTCATTTTTAGCACTAAGACTTATGCACTGCTTCAGAGTGCTTTACAGCCCTTTCTAAGCAGTTTACAGAGTCAGCGTATTGCCCCCATTTTACCTGGCTCCTCATTTTCCCGACCTCGGAAGATTGGAAGGTTGAGTCAACCTTGAGCTGGTCAGAATCAAACTCCTGGCAGTGAGAAAGCTTGCAGTACTATATTCTAACCACTGTGCCACCCCGACTTATTGAGGTCTATCTAGTGGGACCAATAAAAAGGCTCCTCTCTGTATTGCTCCCTCTCTGTGGAACATCATATCTGCCTCCCACTTTTGCAAGGCCTGAAGACATGGTCTACCAACAGGCCTGGGGACCCCAGAATGATGTGGAGTCCACAAGGGGGATGGAAGGTTATTGGTTTTTATCCTTGGTTTTTATCTTTATAAGCTACCTGGAGTCACCAAGAGTGAATTCTAAATAAGTAAGTAAGTAAATAAATAATATAAAATTAAATAAATAAATAAATTCCATTCAAAAGCTTCCTCTGACATGAAATGGCCTCTCTGTTGAGTTATAAAGGAAATGTCTCGTTACAGAGAAAATGAAGATCAACATGGATATCCATAACATGGATACCAATCCTTCAAATATCAACGTAGAACTGCAGGACCAACCAATAGCATGGGAAAGTGAATTAGAGCCACAAGATCTAGAGTTGACATCATAGGAATGACCACTAGATGGCAGCCAGAATCAAAGGTTTCTGTACCTCAGAGCTGCCTTCTAATGGTTGCCTGGATTTTTGCAGCTTAGCTGTGAGGCAGTTGAACCTTTCTCAATTGCCCAGACCCACTGTATAACACATGAATGAACAGTGCTGTGTTCTGAGATAGGGAGAGGACTCTTTTGGTTTGGCTGTAATCTGCACTCCAGGACAGGGGAGCAATGTATTTATGTATTTTTTAAAGAATTAAAAACACACACACATACATCAACTCTGATTTAAATATACGACCTTACTGCAGGAAGTAGTTTTCAAACTATACTATTCTAGAGGTGATTGATATCAGCTTGTGTGTATTAAGAACCACATCTCGCTTGTGCTACAATTAGGCATGCTATATCATCTCTCCTAAGCTGCCTGAAGCACATCAGCTACTACTAATGCTTTCATGCCAAGATAAAAATGCTAGTCTGAAATCAATCTCTGCCTCTTCCATTTATTCCTCCAGCAGGTGGATTTCTACCATTTGGGATTCATGAGCCAAGGCTAGATGAAACAAACAGACAGATTAACTCATGATGTCCTTTGCCTGGGTTTATCTCTATATACACCGTCGGTATGGCTGGTTAATGATTCAGGGCAGCTTTGGAGGACAGCCTTGGTAGATTTACTTTCTCAGTACTACTTGCTTGCTCATCTCTTCCTTTGGGGATGTGTTCCCATTGCCAATCAAAGGGGAACAGCAGATACGTGGAGACAACAGTTCCTTCCTTTCACACCTTCAACTTCACTGCTTGCTTTCTGCTTTTTACCTTGAAGTAGAAGAGCATACACCTCAATAAGTGTCCGAAACTGTTAGGTCTACCTTTGGCAGAATGCCACCACAGCATTGCAGGCACATTGGAGACCTGGCATCTAGACACCTGGCCTGGCCTGGCCTGCAGCAAACGGCAGCTTTTTTGCTAAGGAAGTAAATAAATATGCAATTCCAAGCATCTATCTGAACAGTCAAATCCAGAGGGAGGAAAGAAAAAGCACAGTTTGGGAGGCTGCACCTTTCAACTTTCCATAACTGGTTTTCAGTGATTATTTGTGAAGACTGATGATACCCAGGCAATTCCACCAAGGGAAGAGACATATTTCTATTGCTCGAAGTAAAATGAGGAAACCATGGCTCCTGGTGCATTTCATCTTTGCATCACTGGAAGGGTCATACTGCCAGACAGAAAATGAATTCAATGAGTCATTGTCTATGCTAATCCAACAGTAAGTCTCCCCAAAATGTCAGAATAGAACATTGTCTCTAGTCTGGTTTGGAGAATGCAGGTACCAGAGCTGTGCTCCTTTCACTCTAAAGTGGTATTTCTCAACCTTGAGAGCTTTTTAAGATGTGTGGACTTCAACTCCCAGAACTCCCCAGCCAGCATGGAATTCCGAGAGTCGAGATCCACACATCTTAAAGTTCCCACGGTTGAGAAACACTGCTCTAAAGCATATGACACACTTGTAAGCTATATTCCTCCCAGTATCTGAAGCAGACTTTGGGTATCTTTCTTCAAACCCAACCTTTGTCTTGATTCTGCCATCCTGGGCATGCAAACACATTAAAAGGTATCTATACTAGTAAAAGATAATGAATATCCTGCAAATAGTATTCTGCTACAATTTTGATGGCCCACAGAATGACTGGGAGCTCTGCCTGCTTTTCCTTGCAGTGCAGCTGATCAGCCTGGTAGGGAATAAATAGATGGTTGATTTCAACTGTTACTGGGAATAGGAAATAATCATTTTTGAGAAAAGGCTTAGGAAGGTAGTGAGAAGCCTCATTGGTTTAATGATCTGTATTCTGGTTGCTTCATAAATCATAACAGTAAGCTTGTACATGTAAGACAGACAGACAGACAGAGGAGAGAGGGAGAGGGGTGGGGGAGAGAGAAGAGTAAGTATACATGTAAGTATGTGAATGGAGAGAAAGAAAATAGATGAGTAAAAGAGAGAAGGAGTGGGGGAGAGAGAGAGATGGATGCTTTAAGGCTTGTAGTTGTTTTTTGCATAAAGTTGTACTGGTCAGAATTGGAATTATAGTAGCTATTAATAATGTCTCTTTTCCACCAATTATTTCTTCATTTGTTTTGTGCAACATATAAGCTGCCTCCACCATCAAAGCAAATCCTCATTATATACAAGTTATTAAAGCAATAAACCAGGAACACAACACGGTAATCAAAACAAAAATGTAATATATATTACTATTATTAGGGAAGAAAACACCATAAATACTAAGGAATAATATCCTAATATAAATGCAGGAGTCACAAATGGCTGTGCCCTAGGGCTTTCTGAGAAACCCACTTCAAATCCTGTAAGCTTGTGTGTCTGTCACTGCTGCAGAAGTTAGAGCCTAATATTAAAATACTGAAATAAATTCACATGATACAAAGCACCAAAAAAACAACAACCCCACATCACCCATTTCCATTTCCATTTAGACACCAGGAGACCAGAAATAAAAACCATGCAATTTTTCCTTACCTTGTTCATCAAGGAGAATGTTGTCTGGTTTCACATCTCTGAAAAGCAAAATAAATGTGTGTGTGTGTATATACATACACATATATAAAACTTAATCTTGACAGAAAAAAGGCAACTATTGTATTTCTTTTTCCACACCAAACAAATTGACTTAATAAGCCATTAAACATACTGAGTTTTTGTTATTGTTTCCAAGAATGTAAAAACATTATCTATTATCAGCTACACAAAAACAGAGTTGTGAAATATCCATGATATTCTCAAAGAAATATCATTTGAATGTACCATATAGAAATTTTCTCAGCAAACAAAGGCATGTCAGGGATTGAAAACAATTCTTGCCAGTTGGAGTTGTCTTATGATGAAGATCCTTCCAACTTCCAACTGTATTAAATAAGCAGGTGCCATGGGTCCCTAGGTAAGGGTCAAATTGGGATGCACTGCCAGGATAGGTGATTGGCATGTCCCTGAGAATGCATTTCTCCACATGAGGATCTATCTATTCTATGGTAGTTAAAATATGGGACTAAAGTTCAGGAACATCTAGTTCCAAACGTCATTCAGTACGAAATTCACTGGATGATTCTGAGCCAGTAACTCACTGGTTGATATAAGCATTTAGGGGAGGAGTGAAATTATATATATGGTAGGTAAAAAGGAAATTACTCTTCCAGAGTGCCAGTCCATAACCTATGTGCCTCCTTATTAGGAGGGGGAGGGGGGAGGGGGAAGAGGAAGAGGAAGAGAAAAAAAAAGAGAAAGAGAAAGAAGAGGTGGCAGCTAATGACCTGGAAATGAGATGTCATTAATTTAATGTTCCCCAACCTGGTGTCTTTTAGATGTGTTGGTACTTCAGTTCCTACAATTTCCAGAAGAATTGGCTAAAAATTGAGGAACCCATTTAAAAAGCACCATATCGGTAAAAGCTGAATAGGTTTTTTTCTGCATTGAAACAATCTTGACTTATGATAAAAGATTTTTTCCAGACTTTTGACATAAATAACAATAAAAAAAACTGAGAAAGATTTTGATACAGCAGCCACTAGTCTCAATTATAACCCTATGGAAAGAAATCAATTACACAGAAGTGTATCTAAGATTGAGATGAGATGATCATGAAGTTACCTGCATATTCAAAATTCTATGTAAATAGAATATAGATCAAGATTACAGGATTAGAAAATTAGGTTGTGATTATTTCCTACAATGAATAGTCCTTCCATTTCATGGTAGGACTAGAGAAAAATTACTGAAGAAAATTTACTTTGACTATAAAATCAATTTCAGAGTTGAGATTCCATAGAGTTGTTCCCAATGGGCTAGAATGAGATGAGTTCATAGAGTTAGACGTGATCCTCACAGCTGCCAACAACAGAGTGCAAGATCACCTGTGTATAATACGCTGACTGCGCAAATAGTCCAAAGCTGATGCCATTTCACAGATATATAGTTTAACTGTTTCTTCTGTAAACTGCACATTCTGTTGAAGATGATAGCGCAAGTCACCACCCAAAAGTAGATCCACCACCATGAACATGTCTTCTTCATCCTGGAAGGAGTACCTATAGAAAAATGAGGGAACAGGGAATTCCATTATATTTGCACAGACAATATTACTATGCCTTATGATAGTTCTCCATGCCACATAATGACCTGGAAATGAGACGTCCTTAGTATTATATTACCTAATCCGGTAACCTCTGGATACATTGGGACTTCAGTTTCTAGAATTTCCAGAAGAATTGGCCGGAATGTGCTTGAATAATAACAAGGCTTCTACCTATCTAAATATATAACCTTCAACTTCTTTCATTTGTCCCAGTTCTTTTGAACCACTGATATTTATATATTCGGGGGTGTCATTTTGTTTTAATGCTTATTACTGTTAGCTGTCCCCTATTCTGTATCTAGTAGGGAGCAGCTGTCACAATTCATTTTAACTTGTTCAAGTAATCCTATTTCTATATCTGGCTGGATCACATGGCTTCTATAATATGATCATTACACAGTAATTTTTTCCAGGCATAATCAATAATGTACTGGAATACCAAGCAGCCTGTCTCATTTCATTATCAAAGGATAACCAGTGCCATCAGTGTGAATGACTCATTGGCAAGATTTTGTTAGTCTGAGCTGCCTGGAATCTTTTTAATACAGAAATTCTGGGATGTCATGAGCTGGACATTTTTGCTCTATCTGCCAAAGCTGAGTGGAAAAAAATGTGAAAGGGTTGATCAAATAGGTCAGAGAATTATTTTCTTCTAAGAATATCTAGATGATACAATTGGCTTAGAAACACGAGTTAGAAACATCCACTTCTCTTTATCACCTCTAATAGGTGGAGTGTATACTTTACTTGGATCTTTGAAAAACAAACACATAACATGGTTATTCCTTTATACTTCTACATTCTTCAACAAAACTTCTAGGAGAAACACTCATAAGAATTTAGATGAGAGTGTAAGATCTCAGGGATGAAAATGTTGAAAACTTAACCAAAAATGTTTATAGCATGTGGTGCATTTTTATTTATCATTTTATTTTATTACTATTTTTTGTTAAACGTCATTTCATAAGATGACTCAGCTGTGCCTATCTCTTGGGGGGGAAAAAAGCTAGGATCTGAATTATCCATTCAGAAAGCTACAGGAAGAATGGGTATTTACATTTCAAAGTGTTGTAGATAAAAACAAGACAAGACAACCAAAAGGATAAAAAAGCTTGAGCAATTCCCCTGTGAGACACATTGCTATTCAGTGCCTTTTCAGCTTAAGAGTAAAAAGGGGACCCAAAAACACACACATTATTAGTATAGATAGATATCCCTGAGTGGCTACATAGAAATTATTCCTTCACATAATACCAAAAGGAGAAAGTCTTCATATATCACAGTTAACTTCCACAATTTATTATCAGAAAAAGGAGTAACAGTACCCATTCTGAACATTTTGAAAGGAAGTTATACAACTGCATAAGAGATAAAGCTATCAGTGCTTAGTACTCAGCATAGGTATGCCTTATTTCCAAGACTGGATCTGTGCACATTTCAACAGCAGATTGCTGTAGAAAATGAAACAGAAGAAGCTACTGGATCCATGTTATGTTTATGGTTCCTGGATGGACATTTAGAAAGAGAATGTGAAATTAACCTTTAACTTTGATCCAGCATACTTTTTCCTCTTACATTCTTAAAACAACAGGGATGTGACTTCTATATTTATTATTATGCTAAACTTTCTCCTATGCAATCCAAGCAGGTGACATGTCCCCACCCTGCCTCCTTACTGTGACACAGTAGTTAAGGTAACAAGTAACATTCAAGTTACCCCTAGCCATAAAAGCTCACTAGGGGACTTTGGGTCAATCACCCCACATATTTGTTATGGGGGGGAGGGAGGGGAGAAAAGAGTGCTATGTTTTCAGTCTTGAGACGGGGCAACTGAATTTCAGTAGAGATGTGACTTTTTATTCTAATGGACTGAGAGGTCTATTCCCCAAATTATAACCTTGCTGGTGTCCGTTCAGTATTTTTTTTTTCTGTAGCCCTGTTCCTCACATGAGCTTGTGGTTGGTTTGAAAACTATTACGAATGACAGCAGAAAGAGAACTGCTAGATACTGTAGCAAAATAATTCAATATAATTCATTTTTAAAAAAACAATAAGTTTAAATGAAAAAAAGTAAATACACCAAATCAAGAGGAATTCTCCAAAAATTATTGTAGCCTTCCTATGAAATCCTTCCCTAAATGAATAAGATACAGATCTCAGAATCTCATTGTCCAATTGTATCAAATTAAAAAAAATCCCGATTAATGTGATTCCACAATTAATCAAGGTGGTATATTTGTCTTTTCCACTATTCAGTGCTTAATCTTTATTACGTTTCATTGCATTCTTCATTTATTCCATTTGTCCTTTTGACATTATACTATTCCAATTGGTTTCTTTTTCCTCAACAGCTTTCTCCAAACTTCTGCCTTCCTAAATTTCAGCTCTTATAAATTCTGAACCAACATGGGCAGCCAGGCAACCAGCCAGCCAAACTAATCTAATAATTATCTAATTCTATAATTGTAGCCACGTATTAAGAAGCTATGTTTTATCACAGGAACTCTTTTCATAAGCCAGCTGTTGTATAACTGGATTCTCCATTTCTATAGATATATTTAATTAAGACACCGGATTTCTATAATGCTAAGTTTTGTTTCCTATAGATTGTGGACTCTGCCATTTTCTTTTTATGTATAGTGGAATTTTAAAAATCATACTCTATGCACTGCAGTACTCAATACTCTTTTCTCAAAAGACTAACATGCTTTCAACTAGATGCATACATTTGGAAAATCAGTGGAACTGATACATTCTTTAAAATATAAGAAAAAAAAGAAATTTACCAAAGGTTCACTAGGAAGACATGCTCAATTTCCTGTAGAATCTCTAATTCTCTGAACACGTTCCGAACCTCATCCCTTTCAATGCACTGTTGTTTATTCATGTACTTCATGGCATACATCTTCTCTGTGTCTCTCTTTTGTACAATGCACACCTAGATGTAACACAACAACAAAAAGTTGAATTAATGTGTCTTTATACTTTTTTATCTATTGTAATCAGTAAACAATGGTGAGATGTTGTGATGACCTCCCCCAAAAAATCATTTAGCAAGCCACATTGTTTTCTGCACAAGTTCATTCAGAAAATTATGAAGGAAAAGGCAAGTCTACCTTTTGATAAAAGCACTTTTCTTTAAAAGTGTCAGCATTTGCTAATGTCATTTTAGCAAAATATCTAAAGACAATGCAGTCAATAAAATGTGTTGGTTTTCCTCTCTTATAAATAACCAGTATGTCTGGAAGGCTACGATGGCTGAGAAGAATATGAGACTTGACATCAAATGCCCTCATGCAGGAGAAAGCTGACACAAGGACTCTTATGAGAATACATAGTAGGTAGCTTGATTCTATTATAATTTTTAGCCTGTGATGAGAAGGTAGGCTTAAGACAACAGTTTGTCAGAGAACAGCCTTTTCCAGACTCTTTATATTTTAGATATATGTCCTTCACCTCCCAAAATTTCCTAGCCAGCAGAAAAATTGCCAAAAATCATGGAATCCCAAAACCACAAATATGGAGAAAGCCAAGGATGGCATTAGATTCTTTTACTTTAAAGTCATGTATTTACTTGTTCACTGGTTGTGTAATTCTAGGCAGCATGCAGATAATAATTTTTTAAAAAAATTACATAATAACTGTATCATTGTCATCATCAACATCATCAGTATAGTAGAGTATGATGACTCCCATTTTAGCAATGTCCCAACACTCAAGAAGGCAAATATGGACTGTCACATTTAGACCTCCCAATGTTATAAGGGCAGAACATGAAATAATCATTTTCCATACCAAAGGTAATATCCAAATTATACTTAGAAGAATATAATATAGTGATAGCAATGAAATAATTCAGTGCTAACAACTGCAAAACTCTATGAATCATCAAAGTAAGGGTATAGCAACAAAGGGCCAACAATTTCAGCACAGATGGTATCAAACACTGTGATTGGGGAATTGCTCTTCCACCAAATGTATTCTCACTACCATGCCACCATGGCTCTTATACTACAGGTGATACTGCAGGTAGTATCTTAACAACAGCAATTGTGACTTGGAATTATGATTCTATGATGGGGAATGATTTCCACTGCCTTCATGTGAGATTTTATTATTTATTTATTTGCATGTTCAGTCTACAGTAGTCTACATCTTCGTGGATAAGTCAGGTGAAATGCTACATTGCTTGTTCAAGATCAGCTAAGTCAATTATGGGCTGCCATTTGCTTGAGTAAGCCAATACTAGACAATGTTATAACACTGCAATGATCAGTAATATCGAGTCAAAATCAGCACAGGCACATGAATTTCATTGTGGGAATTGCACCACTTACCAATGTGCTTCTAAGTAAATTTAAGGCACTGGTGATTATCTATAAGACAGACCTATCTTGAGTTTTAAAACATCTTGGGTCTGGGACATCACTCATTCAAACTTGAATCTGCTTATCTAATTCAGGTAAGCGCAGAAAGCATGCTGTAAGTCCACACCTGAACTAAGACAATCCTGGAGGAAGCCTTCTCTGCTATGGCTCCTTCTCTCTGAAACAGTTTGTTTAGTCAAGAAGGTAGGTATCTTGCTGTTATTTCACACAGTTTAATGAAGACCACTGGGATGTATGCCAGTGGTGGGATTCAATTTTTTTTACTACCTGTTCTATGGGCATGGCTTGGTGGGTGTGGCAGGGGAAGGATGCTGTAAAATCTCCTGTCAGAGGTGGTATTTGCCGGTTCTCCGAACTACTCAAAATTTCCGCTACCGTTTTTCCAGAACTGGTCAGAACCTGCTGAATACCACCTCTGATGTATGCCCATGACCTCTGCGTTAACTAAGTCCTCTCCAAAAGAAATGTCCAGGAAGATCTTCAGCACAAGAACTATTTTTAGCTAATTTTATGGAGATCTCTCCGAGATAAGAGGAATGAGAAAGGGAAATATGTGATTCAGAATTACAAGGCAGCAATTTGAAGGCATAAGTTTGCAGAATAAGCATGGGTGTTATCAATGTTTCATTCCATCTACATTGTATACTGCCTTTTAGGGTTTTCCCTGGATAATTTAGAAAATGCCCATTAAGAAGAGTTCTCATATTATTCAAGTCTAACATCTTACTTGCAACGGTTATTGTAAAGTAGTTACATGCTACCCAAAAGTCCACAGGGTACAACCCAACAATTCACTCATAGTTACTACCTAACAATAGCCTCTGAATCCAAAAGCGTTACATAGCAGTCCAAAAAATTACTACATAAAATAATGGAGCACATTTAGTACTGCATCTGATCTTTTTCCTTTGATTAAATTATGTCAAAAAGATCTGGAAACAAGTTTACTCAAGCAAGATAGAAGATCTCTCCCATCTATAATCACATTTATGGGACTTCTGGAAAATGTTATATCAGTCTGAGGTTTTGTTTTCATAATCAAAACAAATAACATCATCATTGGTGTCCTCCTTATTTCAGTTGTTTTTGTTAAAGGAGGAATAAGTTCTTAAGGTACTTAAAAATCAGGTTGATCTTTTTTTAAAAAATAATTGTATATCAAGCTGGTTCCATAGGGCTTCTTGATTAGAGAGATTTAAAGGAGTGCAGTCCTAAAGTTGTATTCTGTGAGCTCCTATTCAGAAAATGAGAAGGGAATTCAACCACTATCCTAGTATGTAGGATAGAATAACTCAAGCACATATTTTAACATTGAGTAAAGATTTCAAGATTAATTTTTATAGATCTGTTATTGAGGTAAGCTCTAAAAAAAGAAAATCTTAACTGTAAATGTTTTTTCTAAAATGAATGATGGAATCATAGGTTATCTTAAAGTTTGAAAATTAAATTATTTTATTACATCCTTCAAGAAAAAGCACGCAAGGTATGCAGGTAGTGCTCGACTTTCAACCACAACTGAGCCCAACATTTCTGTTGTTAAGTGAGACATTTGTTAAATGAGTTTCCCCCATTTTATGACCTTTCTTTCCACAGTTGTTAAGTGAATCACTGCAGTTGATAAGTTAGTAACCCGGTTGTTAAGTGAATCCAGTTTCCCCATTGACTTTGCTTGCCAAAAGGTTTCAAAAGATAATCACATGACTTTGGGACACAGCAAAGGTCAGAAGTATGAACCAGTTGCCAAGCATCTGAATGTTGATCACATGATCATGGGGATGCTTCAAAGGTCGTAGATGTGAAAAACGGTCATAAGTCACTTTTTTCAGTGCTGTTGTAACTTTGAGCAGTCAGTAAATGAACTGTTGTAAGTCTGTAGTTTTCTCAAAGGGGGAAAGATTATAAATATAATCATCCTGTTCTCTACATAACGTATTTGTTCATAGAGTGCATGTGTGAGATTGTATCATTCAGAGCAGGGGTGGGATTCAAATTTTTAACAACCGGTTCTATGGGCATGGCTTAGGTGGTGGGCGTGGCTTGGTGGTCATGTTATTGGCTGGGTGCGGCCAACTCAATATCACTCACATCGAGGCACGCTTCTCCTCGCCTGGCCTCTCATGACTGTGGGGATGCTGTAACAGTCGTAAGTGTGGAAAACGGTCATAAGTCACTTTTTTCAGTGCCATTGTAACTTTGAATGGTCACTCCACACAAGCAAAGTACCAGCAAAGGAGAAAAAAAAACTCCAGAGAAGTTCCTGAGACAAGAAGTCTAGTCCTGCCAAGAATGTAATAAGGGTTAATGGAGAGGCAGTTTCTATAAGCAACACCAGAATGTTTCCTTTCTGCCTTCCTTACAGGATTAGGCCAGTAATTTCTTCTAACAACCGGTTCTCCGAACTGCTTAGAATGTTAACAACCGGTTCTAGCGAATAGGTGTGAACCTGTAGAATCCCACCCTGGTTCAGAGGTTTAGATCTGTCTCCATGGGCTTTAGTGGTGTATTTTTAACCTACAACAATGATGGGAAACAGGTACCAATTCATATATTGCAAAACTACAATTCCCAACATTCCTCAACATTGGCCTTGCTGGTTCTCACATTTACCAGGAGTGGTAGTTAAGTAACAATTCTGGAGACTTAAGAATTCCTCATGCCAGCATCTGAACTCACATGTGTATAATGTAAAAATAAATTCCGTGGGTTGCTACATTTTAGAAATAGAAACAGTTCTGCAGAACTATTTCTAAACAGACTATTTGTAGATGTGAAAATTTGCCTGGAGGCACAAATTTTCAAGAATCAAAGCAATTACGATTAATCTTCTTTCCTCCAGACAGCCCCAACATTTAAAATAACACTCAAATTATATATCCCGCAAATTAAAATAAAAAAAAGAGAAACAAAATGGGGTACATTTGAAAGGGAGGGGGAAAAAATCACAGCAGCTGGCATGATAATGATGCTATTGTCACTGAAATTATCTCATTATTTTTTAAGAACTTTTTTTTTGCCAACAACAGATTTGGCGTGTAGAATTTAAATCAGCAGATCTCAACGGGTTGTTGAGAAACAGGGTAATAATTATTAATGCCATGAAACAATGAACAGTTAGTCTTTTCCAATTATAGGTTTAAAATATGAAAATAAGTCTAGAGTAAGATCAGCAGTTTAGTTAACTAAAATGTTCCCTATTTCTAAATCAGTAATCATTGATCCCATAACATATACTGCTTGTGTCTTTTACAATAAGAACTTAAAACTAATTTCTCATTGCAAAGCAAAATTGTTATTGGGAAGGAGGAGCTTCCTTATCTCTGTATAATTCCTCAAATCTGTATTTCGTTTTTGAGCCAACCACTCTTATTCACCAAGGAAAAAGAAAGGGCACTTTTCTTCTGCTTTAAATCAGTTTCTCTTCAGCGTTTCCATTTGCAAAACAGCGGCAGGCCCAGCTGCTTTGGGTGTTCCTTCCCAATGCAGCAAGAAGTAACAGCCCAATTTATCTTTCTCTGCAGATTTAATGCTTATT